AAATACATATGAATACATATAAGAAAATTACATCATAAATCTCAGTATAAAAGAACACTTAATCAATATAAGAATTAGGTTTATTTTGACGTTAACAATAGAGGTTAAATTACAAAAAAATATGTATTAGAGATAGAAAAACATATGGTGATCGGAGTAACGTAAACCTTGTTGACTTGTAAAGAGTCAAGAATCGAGACTATTTGAAAAAACGAATGTCGATTATATATGAGATTTATAATAAATTTGAAATCCTATTTCATAATAATTTTTTTTATGTTATACATTTTATTTTCATTTTTTTCTTAAAAATAATAATTAATATATATAACAAACAATGGAAACACTAATTTTTAACATAATATGATTGAGAAACATCTCTAAATTCGAAAAATTTTGTCTCCGTTAATTATCGATGTTCCTAACATGTTAAAGACATCTCGGAGACGTTTCGGTGGTGTCTCCGAGTCGTACCCGTCTCCGGAACGTTTCCGGTACGAGAGACAGTATCAAAACAAAGTACCCGTGCTTCATAGCTTATACTTCTTCTTCTTTTTATTATTTCTTATTAATATTATTATTAACTTTTAAGCTATTGTATTATTTGTAGAATTTTTAATTTTAATATCATGTTAATTTTAAAGCAAAATCCAGAATACTTAGGAAATCTAGAGAGAATTCTGAGTATATTTTTTTTTTCATTTAAAACATTTATTTGTGTCTAAAAAAGGGGCGAAATAGTTCTACATTTGAAAATATTTACTTCATAGTCTAGACCAACTAGATCAATATTCAGCAAGGTGAAACTACTCATTTACTACCAAATGGTTATTTTAAATTTCATCGTAATCGACAAATACAAACACAAGTTATTGTTATAAGATTTTTTTTTTAATTACAATAGCATATACAATTATAGTTATTTGTATTTGACAAAATAAAATATACTTATTAGTATATGGTATTATCAATTGTAAATTGATTTATAATATTACATTGGTTATACATCATGTTCACGATGGACATCTAAGCATTTAACACACAATCCCAATTGTAGTGTAGAAACACAAGATCTTTGGATTAAAAACTTCATTTGTAATTACCTTTCATGTGTAAACTTCTATTTAGTTTACATACTTATCTTTTTCATGTGTAACTAATATATATTAAAAATTCAGATATTTTATCTTTAATTTTTTTAGACACGAAGTAATTTTTGATAATGATAATTATATTAGTTACACATAAGTTAGTATGTAAACTTCTATTTAGTTTACGTATTTTCCTTTCATGTATAACTAATATAATTAGGAAATCCAGATATTCATTTATAATATTTTTTGACAAAAAATAAAAATTGATG